TATATATATATATCTATATATTAAAATTTTAAAAATTGATTGATTTTATTATGATTATATTATAGATATATTATTTCATTTAATTAGATTAAATTAGTTTCTTGAAATTTTAATTATTTTAAATTAAATATGTGCAACAAATTTTATTTTGGTAAGAAACAGTGAAAATATTTTTTTTCCCGAGCAAATTAAATATCTGCAAAAAATTTCATTTTGATAAGAAAAAGTGAAATAAGTTTGGTAAAAAACAGTGCCAAAAATTTCATTTTGGTAAGACAGTAAAAATATCATTTGCCGGGCAAAATGAATTTCTCACCCTTTCTGCATATCTTCTGCCTTTAAACAAAGACCCAATGCAAAGTATGTGTTCTTGAAGCAATTTAAAGCACAATCAACTTCCATTAAACAATTTGAATCTGCATTACAAGGTTGGTATCCATAATAGTTCTGTAAATTTATGAATTTCTTACTAATTAGGGTTTTTTATTTGTTATTTATTTATTATTATTATTATTATATTGTGAGGAATCTTCTGTCAATATATTTGTGAATTTATTTTTGTCTGATTATCAATTCAGAGAGGGATTTACTAACAAATCAGGCAATTTCACCCCTTTAACATTCAAAAACCCCTCTTTACTTCAGCAATCAGCCACCACTGGATTCTTCCTCATAGATCCACTCGACCTATCAAGGTTTCCATATTCTTCTTGTGATTTGGGAATGAACACTTCCAAACACTCACATGGTGTTGTTTTAGAAATTTTGCAAATACTCTCATGATTAACTTAATTACAGTTTAAATCTTACTTCTGACTTGTTGAATACCAGTAAATAGTATTTTAGTAATTTTATTTAAGATATGTTAATTACTAATTTGCTAGCTTTGTGACATATTTTTCTTTCCATTGGCATATGAAGCAATAACTTCTTCTAGGTAAAAATGGTTGGACCTGGACGTCGGAGACGAGTCTCTCAGTCAAAGCAAAATGCCATGCCCACACTGACAGCCACATCATTGCCTACATTTTCTCAGTCAGAGCCTACCACCGTGTCCACACCGTCACCCACATCATTGCCTACACATACTCCACTGACAACAGCCACACCATTGACACTTATGGACACAGTTGCGGCCACACCCTCTCCCTCCAACTCATCAACTGTGGGTAAGATTTACTTAATTCCTTTTTCAATTATTTATTTTATTCCTTGAATTCAATTGTTTTTTTACCTTTTCAATATGGATTTTTTGCTGTTATTATTATTATTATTTTTAACGGTTCTGCTTTTATATATGTTCCAAGTGATTGAAACTAAAATTTTTTGAAGTGAAGAATCATGTTGCTAGCTCAAACAATTGACAACTTATGGATAATGGATTGCAATTATGTTACGAAATGAATGGAAAGGAAAAGGTAAAAAATTAGTTCAATCAGCTAATAATTCATCCATAATGTAAACATGTGTGAGTTAATAACTATATGATTTACCTCTGTAGAATGCAAAGTTAAATTGTATATAAGGTTGTATATTGTTGTTAGTTTTTGTTTTCTTGGCTAATAGTCAAAGAGGAAAGTCTAAAATCAATTTTGAAGTCGCACCATCAAGTAATTGTTAACATTTAAATATTCTAACTCAATTACCTCTTTTCTTTTTTATTATTGCAGCTTCTAACTTGTTCGAAAAAGGACGTGGGCGGTCACGTGGGCTTGAATATAAAATTGTTTCGATCCCATAAGTTTCGCATGCACCAGCACTTTAAATCATATGGGAATAATATAGAGGATGCACGTAGAAATCCTTACGAAAATGTTAAATTTGAGGATTGGCAAGACATCTGTGATATTTTCATGGATTCGAAATTTAAGGTGTGAAATTGTTTTCAGTTTATGTTGTTGACTCTGATACTTAGACTTGTATCTATATATATATATATATATTGATATTAGAAAGCATAGGGGAACACTTCCCTTAGAGCTGTACAAGAACCGAACAAGCGGAGGGGGAAGACCTATGGACTCAAAGAACCCAAAAAATCCCTGATTTCACCTAAAGAAGAACAATCTTTCCCCCAATTTCATCTAGACTTGTAGATAACAATTGATTGAATTGGAATGCAGGGAAGAAGCAGGACTAATATCGTGAATAGTTCAAAGAATTTGACCAATCATTGTGCTGGCTCAAAGCCATTTGTGGTGCTTCGACATGAGCTGGCTTGTTTTATATTTGAATTTTACTTCCTTAAATTAAATTAATTGATTGATAATTTCTTGTAAGTGGTTTAATTTGTTGTTCAATTTTGATAACTTTATTGGATAAATTCACTACAAGGAAATTAACTTTTAACCACAGAGGAAAATGCTTTGTACCATGGTTTTGGCCCGTTCTAGTATCGGGCCTATCGGCCGTGGTAGTAAAGCAAGTTTAAGAGCTACCAAAACCTGCTTAGAGAGCGTAAGTCATCCAATGCACAAAATAATAATAATAATAATAATAATGATCCGGGTAAACACAAAAGCTGCTGAGAACAACAAATATAAATACAAGGAACACCAAATTGCAATCAGTTAACCACATTAAAATGTTAAGAGAAATGGGCATAAGGTTAAAATCTTAATGGAAATCATGGAAGAAGATTATTGCTTACCCTGTAGTTCCGAAGAAGTCCCAAGGAAATAAATTTGAGAGCAATAAAAACAAATTACTTGTTTCATTCCTCAACTAATAATGTCAAATTTGAATGATCATGTAATATAATTAAATCAGCATAAGTAGATATGTTCAGCACTATGTTCAAAGAGATATTTGAGTTTTCATTTCTGGATTCTACTTGTATTAATTGTTCCCCTACTTTACATAATAAACATGAAAATGTAAAATGAAAGTGACAAGAGATGAAAATGTTAAAAAAGGAACAAATTTATGAGCTACACCCTACAACACCACCAATACTAACAGATACCAGCAACATAAATAAAAAGAAAGAGTTGCTAATTGACTTCACTTGCGTATAAATTAAAGTTGGCTAGTATATTTAGTTGCTGTTGAATTTACCTAAATATTAAAGAAATTAAGCAAATATATTTTTTTTAGCATTTAAATTTGTGATGAATTAATGATCGAAACCAATTCAGTAACATTTATATAGAACATGAACAGATAGATACATCATACATAGAAACACATAAAATTTCACAAATAAAAGGAGAGGGTAAGCAAAGACACTAATGAATCCCAAAAAATAATTAGAACGAAGAGTTGCTAATGGCGTGAGAAACCAAAAACACCATATATTAATGAATACTCTGGATATATGACAGTTTTCCTATAGATAAAGTATATATGCATATACATAAAATATATAAAGTTCTCATTCTTTGTTTCTCAATCCACACAAATCTTTCTTAAAGGAGGCAGCTAAGTGCCAAACAGAAGCAAGTCAAGCTGATGTTATGAAAGTTATTTACCAAGATTTTATGCATAAATATGAGCAAGCAGAATGAAAATACACAAAATACATTCTTTATCCTTGTAAATCAACTTTCTTCTTCCTTCAGTATTATCAAGTTCCTTCCTCTCCCCTCTTAAAATGTTTAGTTTACATTGATATACATATACATGTATTGATGTACATGTGAAAACTGAAAAATATTCAAATTCTAACCTCATTTTTATTTTTTCTTCTTCTTTTATTTATTTTATCTATTTATTTATTATTATTATTTTTTTTGTAGGTTTCCTATTGAATGCAATTTGGCTTCCTTCAAAGGGATTCGGCTCTTGGATTATATTTTGTTATTTTGGTGTATATGGGATTAGCTTAGCATTTTGGATTATGCGATTAGCATTTTGTGATTTTGGCTTCGGATCTTGGATTTCTTTTGTGATGTTGATATGTGTTTGGGATTAGCGTTTTGGATGATGCGATTAGCATTGTGTGATTTTGGCTTAGGATTTTGGATTTCTTTTGTGATCTTGATATGTGTATGGGATTAGCTTAGCATTTTGGATTATCCTATTGATCATGAATCCAATGAAAATTATTTTTGGGCTGTAGTTTTTTATGCTAGCAGTGTCGATTCATTTAATTTGTTATATCTTCATGTTAATTACTATTTCCAGATTGCTTTTTTTTCAATTCCTGTGGGAGTTCAGAATTTAATTGAAAGGAAGGTTAAAGTTGATAAAAAGGTCATGCACATGCTGAGTTTGAATAAAGTAATGTAAGGGCCAAGCAGAAGGTGGGTAACTGAGGAACTTTAGAAGGGATTGACACTACTAGCAAACCTCAATTTTGAATAACAGTTTTTTATGATTCTCAGATTCTAAAAGAAACTCAATTTTGAATAACCTCAATTTTGAATGTGGAATTCAAAATTAGTAGTTGCAAAAATACTAGTCTTTTTTACGACCCTTGGTTTATTTAATGGCAAGACTATTATTAGTGTGTATGGGAATAGAAGGCTAACGGGCATTCCTTTTTTATCAATCTTAGAGGATTTCTGTAGTGTCAGATAATAAAAAAAAAATAAAAATATTTATTTCTTTCTTTATTTTTATCCGTACCTAACTGTGAAAATATGCAGAATTCATATATGAAAAGATATAAAAAAGGTATCAAGCTAAATGATTCAAATTGTCAAGTGTACCCATTCCAAATTTTATTCAATCAAATGATTAATATATCTTGCATTAACAAGTGTATTTTTTTAATACACAATTAGCCCTTGAAATAAACTACACAATTAGCCCTTGAAATAAACTAGTTGCGATTTTTTAATGTTAGATTTTAAATTTAAAAAATAATTGATTGTTCTATGATTATAAATATATATATATATATATATATATATATATTAATTAGTTTAATTAAATTATACTAGTTACATGAAATGATTCTTTTTTTGAATTAAATATATATATTTTATTTCAATAATTTTTTAACCATAAAAATAAATTGAGTCTAAAAAACGGAAAATTTTCAGGGCCGCCAAAATATACGCGCTTCAGCTATCTCAAAAAAGCTCTGTGTTTCCCTCTCTCACTATCTCCTCCATCTTATAAAGCTCTAACATAGGCGATTAAATCCTCTCTCTCATCCCACTCCTACCTATTCTCTTCCGATAGAAATTGTCTCCGTCAACATCACTAACGAAATATGTCTTGAATGATACCCATTCGACTTCTCAGGGGGATTCAAAGATGATTTTGGGATTTTTTGGAAGCAATTTCAATCAAAATCAACTTCCAACAAGTGATTTGAATCTTCATTACAAGGTTTGTATCCAGAATCTTTCTTTAAAATTATGAATATTTGCTTAATTAGGGTTTCATATTTGTATGTTTGGGAGGGGATTTTGTTATTAGGTTTCCTAATATAAGCTCTTCCAATGACATATATATAGAAAGATTGATAAGTTTTTCCTTTTCTTTCTGTCGGCTCTATGCAAATTGGCGTCAAATTCAATTCGTTGCCCTCTCAACGTTTTCCCCAAGTATTCATCAGTTTTTGGCAATACAAAACACCATTTTAATCTCTTCGCTAAAATACAAAATCAAATATTCCTTTGGTTTATGAGATTTTTGGAAGAAGAATGAGAATTGGGGGCGATTTACTGAAATGGCCTCTTCTTCTTCATCTTCTCGCTCTAACGATTCTACACCGAGTCGGTCTCAACTCAGTGTCTGCGACATGCGAATTCAGTCTCACTGATGGCAACACGTTCTACAACTACAGCTTGGCAACTTCCATCCCTAAATTCCCCGCGCCCTCAGCGAAGATGGGTACTTCCCTCTCTCTCTCTCTCTCTCTCTCTCTGTGTGTATATATATATATATACATACACATTTACACACGTATATGACATGCTTCTTGATTTCGGTATTAATTTGTGATAATATTGTCATTGCAATGAATTGTATATAGACCCTTAGTATCACATTGGAGATGCTTACCTTCATTCATGATTTTAACTCACATAGGTTCTTTTTATATTGTAAAAATACTTGATAACATATAACTACATAGGATTAGAAATTTTTAATTAATTGATGGAAATTAAAATTCTTACACAATCTTGAATATGTCTTTTTTCTGTATTATACAATACTCTTTCCATCGAAATCATAGTTATATATTATTTCTTTATTTATTTAATATTCATAAATATATATATATATATATATATATATATATATATATATATATTAATTCCTTGGATTGAATATGTTGCAATAAGTTGCTTTAATCTGGCAAAAGCATTTAAGTACAAGCTTTACCTTCGATATGAAATTTTCTAGAGAGAATCCGTGGGAAACTTATTTACATGACTTAGTTCGAAATTAAAAGCTTTGATAGAAATGGGTTCAACTAATGGAGATATGAGTAGGATACAAGTATGAACAAGTGTATGACTACCAATAAAGAATACCGAACAAAAAAAGTACATAGTTTATATTTTGGCATATAAAGCACTAACTTCTTATGGGTAATTATGGCTGGACCTAAAAGCATAGATAGAAATGGGTTCAACTAATGGAGATATGAGTAGGATACAAGTATTAACAAGTATTTGACTCCCAATAAAGAATACCAAACAAAAAAAGTACATAGTTTATATTTTGGCATATAAAGCACTAACTTCTTATAGGTAATTATGGCTGGACCTAGCCGTCGGAGACGAGTCTCTCAGTCAGAGCATACTCCAATGCCCAATCTGACAGTCACATTTGCCAACATTTTCTCAGTCAAAACCTACCCCCATGTCCACACCGTCACCCACATCCTTGCCTACACATTCTCAGTTAGTGTTTTTTTTTCATGTATTTTGGTTTTGGTTAGGCACAGTAAAGTAATTTGTTATCATTAATCATTGGAAATGATTTTATTTTTCTTCTGAACAACAAATTTACTTTTTACTTTTTTAGTATGCATGCATGACATTGGCCAATATAAAATTCAGTGCTTTTTTTTTTTTTTTTTCCAGTAAATTTAATTTGACAGTGCTTATTTAGCTTGTGTTAGGGAAATGGATTTTGATCGGGGTAGGATTCAAAATAATGATAGGAATTCGATAGAGTACATGCAAGGAGTAAAAAACTTTATGGAAGTGGCTAGTAAACATGTAGATTCACTCAACCGGACTTGTTGTCCATGTTACAATTGTAATAACGTCTTGTTGCAACAATTAGCAGTTGTTGAAGACCACCTTCCCTGATGGGTATGCATCAAACATTTCTCGATGTGTTAATATCAAAGATTGCAAGCTATCGGGAATGAAAAGTCATGATTGTCATATTCTTTTGTAACATTTACTTCCGGTAGCAATACATGGGTACCTTCGCAAGGATGTATGTACCGCACTGACTGAACTTAGTTTCTTTTTAAAAAAATTGTGTTCAAGGACATTGCTGTTGGATGAGTTGGAGCAAATGGAAAAGGACATTGTCATTATATTATGCAAACTGGAATGGATATTTCCCTAGCCTTTTTCGACGTAACGGTCCACTTAGCAATTCACCTTCCTCATGAGGCCATCCTTGCCAGACCAGTGCAATATCGGTGGATGTATCCAATAGAAAGGTGATGTGTCATTCAATATTTTAATATTGTTTTTTTTCCTAGTTGATATTTTATAATTGTTGTTACAAGCCTTCTATTAATCTTATGTATATATTGTTCACTTAAATATTCTTTTATTGAATTGTAATAGGTTCTTGCATTCTTTAAAGACAACGGTTCGAAATAAAGCCAAACCCGAGGGATCAATTGCTGAGGCATATATTGACAAAGAATGCCTGACTTTTTGTTCAATGTATCTCAAAAGGGTTGAGACAGTGTTTAATCGAGATGAACGGAATTACGATGGCAGTCGAGGAAATAAAGGTCAGGACCTTTTTGTTTTTATTCGAGATATATGTCCTTTGGGAGCACCGACCTATTTCAATATGCCATTTAATGATCTTGATAAGGTTCGAATGTATGTGTTGAATAATTGTGATGAAGTTCTGCCTTATTAGAAGAAGACCTTGAGTTGTACTGGAATTAAAAAGAATGAGGCTAGTAATTCTATTAACATTTTTTAATAACCTAACCTACAATAGAATTAAATTAAATAAGTAATGGATAAATGATATGTTCAACTATTTTTTAATAACCTAACTTGATAACTCAACAATGAGGCTAATAATTTTATCAACATATATATTAGCAATGTGTTAAAACTTGTGCCACTTTGCCTCTGGTAGAGAATTAGGGGAGACCAAAAATACTAGGCACGTCTGAAGAATTTGAGTCTCCTATCTGGACTGTTAAGTATTGCAATTGATCTCCCTTATATTTTTTTGTTAGGGGAATTTTTTTTTTTTTCGACAGCACCTTTGTTGCCAATGCTAACTATAGAAACCAAAATCCAACAAAGCAAGACATGAACTAAACTCGTAAAACCTGTGCTTATCACCGGGATATTAAGTTTTTTAAAATACTCTTTAAAATTTTATTCTTATTTGCAGGTTTCACATTGATTGCAATCTAGCTTCCCTTTTAGATTCAGATTTCTTTTGGGATTTTGATACGTGTATGCAATTAACATTGTGTAATATTGGATTTATATGTTAGGATTTTGATATATGTTGGAATTATCATTTTAGATGATTTGTACATTTTAATATCTAAATTCTTAATGGAATATGTGTTTTATTTTCTATGTTTGATTATTAAATATATTGATTTTGAGTGATATGCTTGGATCTTGGTTTAGATTGTTTAGTTTATTAATATTTTAATTTAATTTATAGGTTTCAAATTTCAAATAGGTGAAATCAAAATTATATTATTGTATTAGTGGCAAGATATATTATTTTGTCACAATATTTAACTTATAGTGACAACATATTTATCATAACATGATAGATATATTGTGACAAAAGATATGTTTTGTCACAATAAAACAACATTTATAGTGACAAAATATTGTCGCAACATGATATATATATTGCGACATTTATTTTGTCACAATATTTAACCTTATAGTGACAATGTATTTGTCGCAACATAACATATATATTGCGACAAATAATTTTGTCACAATAAAATAACTTATAGTGACAACTAATTTTGTCACAATAAAATAACTTATAGCGACAACTAATTTTGTCACAACATGTCCCTATATATTGTGACGAAATTTTTGTCACAATAAAACTAGTTATATGGACAATAATTTTGTCGCAACATGTCCCTATATATTGTGACGAAATTTTTATCACAATAAAACTAGTTATATGGACAATAATTTTGTCGCAACATGTCCCTATATATTGTGACGAAATTTTTGTCACAATAAATTTAATTATATCGACAATAATTTTGTCGCAACATGTTATATATATTGTGACTAAAACTTTTGTCACAATAAAGTAGCTTATAGTGACAATATTTTTGTCACAACATAAGATGTATATTGTGACAAAAGATTTTGTCATAATAAAATAGCTTATAGCGACAATTTTTGTCACAAAAAGATTATACATATAGTGACAAAAATTGCTTTTGTCACAAAATAGTAACAAATAGCGACAAATTTCATAGGTCTTGGAGGTCTTAAGGTGACAATTTTTGAATATTTTACGACAAATATTTTGTCGCAATTTTTATTCATTTTGTGAGAAAACATATTTTGTCACAATATATCTCTCCTCTAGCGACAAATTAACATTTGTCACAAAAAACATATTGTGACCGACTTCTAGTGACAAACCGGTGACAAATTTTTTTTTTTGTCACGATAATCTTATTGCGACAAAATATGTACTTTTAGCGACAAATTTGTTTGTCGCCAAAGACCAGATTTGTTGTAATGAAGTTTCCTGTCAATATTCCAAAGGCACACTTTATTGGATTCATTTTTAGCTTATGAGCCCTTATCCTCTCAAAAGATGCTTTGAGGTAAACTAAGTGTTCTTTCTTCGTTGTTGATTTCACCACCACATCATCAATATATACCTCCATAAATTTGCCGAGCATATCATGAAAAATAGAATTCATAACTCGCTGATATGTGGCACCAGCATTCTTCAACCCAAAATGCATTACCATCCATTCAAAAGTCCCAATCGATCCGGGAAAGCTAAAAGCTGTCTTTAGAATATCCTCCTCGGCTATATAAATCTGATTATAGCCTGAGTGTCCATCTATAAAAGACATAATTTGGTGCTTTGCAGCCGCATCAATCAATTGATCGACTATCGGCATTGGATATTCATCTTTTGGAGTTGCCAAGTTTATATTTCGGAAATCAACACATATACGCAATTTTTCATTCTTCTTGATAACAGGGACTACATTTGATAACCATTCAACATACCTTGTAGTTCGAATGAAACCAGCATCCAATAATTGTTCGATCTCTACCTTGACTTTATCAACCACCTCTTGAGACATTCGACGAGGTGGCTGTTTATATGGCTTGTAGCTATCTTTAATGGGCAGCCGATGTTCCATTAGATATCTGGCTAAACCAGGCATTTCCTCATAATTCCAAGCAAAACAGTCACTGTATTGTTTTAACATGCCGATAACCTCGGCTTGCAATTTTGGTTCTAACAGTGCACTAATGTAAGTTGGTCTAGATTCTACGTTACTGCCTAAATTCACCTCCTTTAATGGATCTTGAGTTTCTGCTTTGAGATCATCAAGCTTAGCTGGTGCCAATTCCAAGTCTTCCAATTGAATAACATCTAACTTTTCATTATCGATGTGATCAGCTTCTGCAAAATTAACCGATGGTCCTGGCTCTATTGTTACTTCTTTTTCTAGCCGTTTTTCGGCTATGTATGCTTGTAGCCTAATTCAAGCGGCCCTAAAAGGCTGCTGCCGAGCAGCTTCTCTTTCAAGTTTCGCTTCCATCAACAACTTCTTCAATTATAGCAAGCCAAGGGAACTCTACCTTCGGCCTAGTACTTTCTTTCTGTAATTCACCGATTTCCCGATCAGTAAGACTTCTTCTCATGGTTGCTGATGTGGGTCTCCCGTCAGCTCCTGTTCCCACAAATCGAATAGGAACACATTCTTCATCATACAAAACAGCATCTGCCGAGTACACTTTTGCCACCAATGGCTTGTCATCGGCATTCACTATCTTCAACTTATCTCCATCCCAAAAGATTAGCATCTGGTGTAATGATGATGGAATGCACATATTTGGATGAATCCAGTCACGGCCTAATAACAAATTATAAGAAGTCGTGGACTCGATAATAAAAAATGCCGCAAAAGATGTTCTTCCTCCAATTTCAACCTCCAAGGGAAGAATTCCTTTTGTTCTAGTAGATCCTCCGTTAAACTCACAAATTGCTACATCAGTGGGAATACCATCTTCTATACTCTTACCGAGTTTCTTAAAAGTATTAGCCGGAATAACATTTAAAACCAAGTCATTGTCTACCAAAACTCGGTTAATAGGTTGGCCTTCTACCCATACCTTAACATACAAAGGCCTAAGTTGTTGAGTCATTGCTAACAAAGGTATCTCAAAGATTACCTTTTTTGCCGATTCTGAGGAAAGAATTGATAAATTCTGAATCGGCTGAGTTCTTCTTCCTTCTGATTTACATCTATCTTCTGTTTCCTTCTTATTTTCTGTACTTGCAGTTAATGACAATAGGGCCTGGAACATTGTTGGTAAAACAAATGCCATATTACATGACATTTCATCTGGGAAACTGCCAAATTGAATTCTGAACTCATTTTTGCGTCTGGGCCATGTTAGCTGATGCTCCTCTTCCTCATCGGGTTGGTCTTTATCTGGAATACTAACTTCCTCGGCTAACTTTTCTTTGCTTACCTCTTCAATTTTCCTTTTTTCCTCGACCCTTCTCCTTTGTTCACTGTATTTCTGAGATCGAGTAAGGCCTCCATTCTGATATTGTTGAACTTTAGGGAATTTTGGGTGATTGACTCGAGTCCATCTGCCCTCCGCTGAGTTTGTTTTGGGTATTACAGTTCGCACCTTATATGAATCGGCTCCCTTTTGTACCCAAATTTTTGATTGAACTGGTGACCTCCTTTTAAAACTAGGATGCCGATTTTGTGGATGAAATCAGCTAGATATATTTTCTTGCTGATTTTGCTTCTCCGCCTTAACATGACTGCTGCTAGAATCATCTTGCCGAAGTTGTTCACCAGGCTTAATTGGGAATGTAAGCCTCTCAAGAATTCTTTTCTTCTTTGGTTGAACCTCCATTGTCTCTTCTTCTTTAGGCTTCTGCTTTCCCTTGCAAATTGGGCAACCCTGGTCTATCAGGGCCAATTGGGCCTACCTCAACTATTTCTGCAGCTCTGCCATCTTTTTAAGGGTCACATTTGATGAAAGGAACTCATCTGATGCCTTTTTAGCCTCCTGCTGATTTTCTTGCTTGGCTAAGCTTATCACATTAGTAAACGCGATTATAGGGAATGGATTGGTGTCCACCTTCATGGTCTCTGAAGTTTTCTCTGGGAACTTCAAAGTACCTTCATCGATAGCCTTCTGCAATAAACCTCGTAGAATAGTACGATCATTAGTAGCATGGTTCCAAGAGTTATGATGCTTACAGTATTCTTTCCCTTTTAAGTCATTTGTCGATGGAATCTTATGCCCTTTAGGCAAAGATATCATTTTATTGGCCAACAAGTGATCAAAAATCTGATCTGTTTTTGACAAATCAAAAGAATAACTTTTCCCAATATCGGCAGGACCTTTCTTTGGTGTCGATATTGATGTTGAACTGCCCCCCGTGGTCAGCTTTGGTTTAACCAAAGCTTCACAGGTTTATAGTTTCTTGATATTAATCTCTATCACGTCAACTTCTAATTTATCTCCAACTTCTACCGAGAATACCTCATAATTGGGGTCCTTGTAATAGGTACCTTTAGAAGTATTCCTCCTCTCTTTCTCTTCTTTAAGTATCTTCTCATACCGAGAATCCCTGTTTACTAAATCGAAGAGATCTTGAAACTCAACCCCATCAAACCTCTTGCGATGTTCAATGTCCAAATCGTTTAATGCCAACTTGATATACTCTGGTTCTGGCAAGCTTACTTGACATTTAAGTTTAGCTTTTTTGAACCTAGCAATAAAAGTTTCAACTGATTCGCTTGGCAACTGAGTTAAACGAGATATATCCGCCAGCGTAGCTTCTGCCTCTGTTCGGTGGAATTGGGTATGAAAAATGTCCTCCATTTCGTCCCATGTCCGAATAGAATTGGCTGGTAAATTGCTGTACCATTCAAATGCTACCTCAGCGAGAGAACTGGAGAATAACCTCATCCTCAGCCAAGGACTAGGGCCTGCTTCACCACATTGTGCTGTAAAGCTCGCAATGTGCTGCACCGTATAAAAATTTTCTTTACCACTATACATGGAAAAATCGGGATACTGATAATTTCTAGGCAACTCATGAGCATCGACATGATCGGGATAAGGCTTTTTGTATACTGGCCGAGCACGTCTGGGTCCCTGTGCTACCTCAGCCTGTATTAAAGCCAAAATTTGAGCCCTATCGATCCCTGCATTTTGTCCCGGAGGATCATTTGGGTGCAATGGAACGAATGGATTAACCCATTCTCATTGTTGATTCGCATTGCCTTGCCCCCCAGCAACCGCCGGAGGTACCAATAGATTAGCTCTGCCTTGGTTTTGGTTTTCAACCACCTCTTGCCGATCTCTCACCACTGGAATTGGCTACACTGGTGGACGCTGCACATTCTGATTATGTTGATTATTCACTGGTGGTTGATACATTGGCACTACAGTTACTGCCGGCGGATCTGACAATATTGGTGGGTTACTAATCGGCACGCCAATAGTAGGATTCGGCACATTGCCGATCGCAATACCCAACGGTTGAATTGGCATCATGCTGATTGGCATTCTGAGGGTTGGATTTTGCAGCATTGCTCCCGTCATTGTTGTCCTTCCTTTTTCAGGAATAATTACCTTTGATGAAGAAATATGCCGACCCAATGATTCATGCACATTTGAAGCTTTAGCCTAATCAGATCGGCTTTGCACCACCAATATCTGAATTGATACTGCATCCATTTTTTGATCCATCCCATCCATTCGGGCATTAACCTTTTCCATTCCTTGCCGAATGGATTCAAGTATTTGCATGACGGGAACATCCGATGGGAAGGAAACCCCTGCTGTATGAGATCTGACTTGACCAGTTGGTTGGACTTCTTCTTCCTCTTCGTCATTCGAATTCGTATTCTTTGTATTCTTCTTGGGAGGCAACTTTGTTATAAATAAATTATTCACCTAGTGGGTCCCACCGGGTGTGTCAAAAATGTTGACCTTAAAATCGGCCGGTTAAAGCCGATCTTAATTTGATGTAAAATGGGCGTGCCAGAACCACTTGTGTGGTTCGATTGTAAACAGTCAATGTTAGTCCCTTTGAAAATGTTGACTTTCAGACGATGCGAGAAAATGGGAACAATAAAATTCCTCTTTTGAGTTCAAAAATGCCTTTGTTAAAAGGACTTTTCAGTGAATAATTTATAGAAACGTATCAAGAGAATAGAAAAGAGAGAAAAATAGATATAGCAAGAAAAGAGAGAGAAAGAGAGAGATAAAAGGAAAGAGAGAAATAGATAGAACGAGAGATTGAGAAATATAGAAGGAACGAAAGAAGAAATAGCAAGGATGCTATTATTGGAAAAGCTTGAGAAAACAAATAAATAATAATAAAGATTTTGAGGGTGTTGGACCTTTTTCTCAGCATGCCCTTTTATTTATTTATAGAAAATATTAGAAACAAATTCATACTAATAAGTACTCTAAGTATAATAAAACTCTATCTCATTACTAAATTTAAATTCAAATTAAGGTTCCTAGATAAATATTAATTCCTAACTAAAATCTGGTAAACATATAAATCTTATCTAACATAAAGTACTTCAAAAATATTTCAAAAATACTCCTATCTGATCAATGACGCCCTGTAGCTTTGCCATGTCACTGTATCACCTATAGCCCACTTCCATATCATTATATCAATGCTATCACAATTGCGACCCGAATCTAATGCTTTAATTCCATGTTTTCAAGCCCGAACTTATCACTGCATCCCTCAGCCCAATATTTGTGCAGCCCGAGTACCTGAAGCATCATCAATCAGGCCCATATGCTCTTGGCCCATAACACCTTATCATTGTTTATCAAACCCATGGAGCCTAAACCCAATTACCAAAATGGGTGTCAACACTACCACTCTCAAATTTATCAAACCCAATTGGAGCCTAAAGTTGTTAGAGTGTTCAACTCCCTGAATAGGTGTGTCTGTGTTTGAGTTTTCCCTCCTCCCCACAATTTGCCAGGGCAAAAAGAGAAAAAAGGCCCAGTTGGGCCTGTGAATTGGGAGCCCAGGCACATTACTGCCGGGCTTTGACTACTTAACAGACCAGGCCTGAAACAGATTTGATAATCCCAAACCCAAACCACGAACCTTTTGCATCTTCATGGGCCGAGCTACGGGCTTCGAATGATTTTTGAAATTTATCCTTTATTCGGGCTTCAGTTGGGTTTTATTGGGCTGAACTTGAAACCTTTTATTTTAAAAAGAAGACAATGAAATTCAAAATGTAATATTGACTTGGGGTAGTCTTGGGAGGAGAAATACCACATCCATCATTTTCATGTTCGAAAATAATTTTTACACTGAGTAGTTATAGTGAATTGTCAGACCTATTACTTTTAATTGGCCATTTGTGCAACAAATAAGCGAGTGGGACCATCAACTTGCTTGTATTTTGTATAAATAATCAATCAAAAGTATTCGGTTAGGCAATTCACTACAACTTTTCGGCGCAAGTATCACTATTCTTTTGCGTTTATTTCCTATGAATGGTGTCGGGCACATGAATTCTGTTTTTTTTATAATTTTTTTCTATAACACGTCGTACTAGTACTAAATTTAATTTTGTAAAATAATTTTTTATTGTTTCATTTAATGTTAATTTTGATCGATCTCTTTGTCATTTACCTTCTACGATCTTCTACTCTTCATTAGCGCATCTATAGGTTAATGTAAAACCGAAAAAAAAAAAAAAAAAAAATGTAATACAGTAAAAAAAGAAATAAAAGGTTGTAATGGTATGGTGACCTGCTGTGGAATGAAAACATTTGGACCAGAAGCGGGCCTCAGACTTCTGTTGTACGTGTTACACACCCACAATGATACTTCCTTTTGATAACGTAGCATTTTATTTGGCTCTGGGCCATTAGCTTGACCCGTACTGATGTAACGTAACGGAATCAATTATTACGATTGTGAATTATTGTCAACCTCACACATAATTTTAAAATATATTAATACATATTTGTTCAAAAAAAAGTGTCCACATTTTTAATTTTGGTTGTCTCAAAATAATTGCCCCAATTTAAAATGTAATGTTACTATTTTATTTTTATATTCTTAATTTACTCCAAGAGCCTTGTGACCTATAGGTTCGACATTCTATCTTTTCATATTATAAAGCCTCATCTTTGTAGTTAGATCAAGAACGAACCTTTGGATCTCGATCGAATACAACAATGCATCACGAATACTAATTACAAATATTTTTATTCTTTGTTCTATTTCTTTCATCGAAAATTATTTACTACTGCTACATGTTATTCGACAACTAACCTAGTGGTATATTATCTACTCCAAAGTGAATTGTAATGGCTCGAGCTCTCAAAGGGGCAAAATAGTTATTTCATATATTTTATGTGGACTCACCATATAAAGGTATATTTGGAAATTCATTCCCTACATAAGGTCCAAAAAAAAATACTTTTTTTTTTAGGACGGAGGGAATAAAATTGATGAATTTTTATTAAAATTTTAAAGCTTAATTTTCATACAAGTAGTGACTTATTATTGAATTATAAATTGTCGCTATTAAAAATGATTAATATTATACTTGTTTATGAAATTAATGAATAAAAAAATTAAAAATAATATTGCACTGCAATAAATAGAATACAATAATACTCTTGTTAGCATTTATCTCAATTATTAATTATCACAATTTTATCATTTTTCAAAAACTAATTATAAAATAAATGAAAATCCATACCTTATAGAGTAACACATATTTTTAAAAACAATACCTAATTCACCACCGAATTTTTTTTTAATTATAAAGTCCATAAAGAATATACAGTATAGAGTCTATAATTATAGCCTATCAATTACGCAAATAGTGTAAGATTTAGACAGTAAATTTAAAAAATGGACACTTGTCTGATGACTTATCCATCTTACAAATGGATACGCCATAAAAAATGGACATTTTTTTACTAATTTTTTTTATTACAAAATATAAGTTTCGGAGAGCAAGAGTGGTTAGTTATTTTAGTGAAATTAGATGTTGACTTAAAATGGTCAAATAGGTTTCTTTGTTTTTTTATAATTGATTAATTGTCACAATGATTAACAATTAAATATACACCAATCACACGATAAACTGTAAAGTAAAATAAATATATAAAAAAAGATGAAATTTGTATATAAATATATATACAGGTCACATGTATATATATGGGAACTAGTCTAGGTGGTGATAAGTGTAAAAATTGAATTTAATTGTTTCCTATCTTGTTTAGGGATATGGTTGGTTAATATAATGTGAGTGAAAAAGATATTGTTAGTGAATGATAGAATAAAATTAAATATGATAATAACAAAAGTTCACAATAATAGACAAAAAGTAAAAATAGTGATGTGAAACAATAATTACATTCTCGAAACTTACAGCCGTCTCTAACTTTTCCTCTGTTCTCTCTCTTTTCTATCTCTTTCTCGCAGCTGCTCGGCCCCTTCTGCTTTGCTCCCTGCTCCCTTCCATGGGAGTGCGGAGGTGACTTTGCTTGCCTCCCACATGTTAATAATATCAGCTTGTCACAATAAGTTCGCATGTGCGGTGGTTTTTTACGTTATTTTTTGTTTTTGTATGGCTAGATTTGTTCTTGTTTGATTCGTGTCAGACTCCACAGGGTGGATATGTTGTTTTCCCTTCGGATAGATCTCTTACCTAGGTCGATTTTTGTTTTTCCCTGACTTGATTTGATTTGTGTAGGGTTGGGTGTGTGGAAGCGCCTTATGGATGCAGTTTTTGAGCTATTGCGTTAATGATGGCCTGACTTTTGGTCACTCCAGTTTGCTGCTCTTCTCCTTTGGTGGTTTTAGTTCTAAAACGGTGGCTCTTTCTCAATAAATTTGGAGTCTATTGTTCATTTTATTGTATTGCTTCATGATTTGTATGTCTTTATCTGGCTTGGCTTGGCTTAGGCCTTTGTGCCTTTCAAATGATAAAAATAAAAAAAATAAAAAAATAAAAAACAATAATTACATTATATATATATATAATATTTTTCTGTCCGCTTCACAAATTGTCTCCCTTTGTAATGACTGATTCTCCTTCCTTTCAAAAGTACAAAGAAATAAGAAAGATATTCACAACTGTGATCAAACGGTGTAATTTGAATTAGACTCTAAAAATCTTCGAAATAACAAAATAAGCATTTTAAAACATTATAGAACTTCAGTGCAAAAAGGATTAAAAATCTAATTAAAACAAAAAATCCCGTAATTGTGGTGACAAGTGCGACTAGTGGCACTTCGCAAATCTCCCTAACCAGCAGTAATCAGACTGATAGTCAAAAGTGCGACTGGTACAAAACTTTAAACGCACGATGTGCTCCTCACCCACATGCCTGTACCGAATATGTCTTCATCCAATTCCACGGTGCCTAGGCACTTGCAAATCAACTCCAAAGATCGAGACACAAATTAAACAAAAAAAATTATAACTCGATAAACAAATTTTAACAACAAAAGTCACCAAACATAAAAATTAAATATCTCACATTATTCCATTCCTCAACTGTGAAACGTATATTCCAATTTACAAAACAAA